GTCCAACGTTAAGAAATGCTCTGCCGACATTAATTCCATGAACAGGTAGGTCTCCCATGGTGATACTGCATAGTTTCGACTTCAATCCAAAGCAAGTCAAACATTTAGATAGAATTCATCGAACTGCATCCCTCCCAAAAGGTATCCAATACTTTAAACGGGTACAACACGAAGTAAGTTGAGAACCACCATGTAAATAAATTTTGTGATAATATTGCACCAACAAGGTGGTGAATGATTCTTTGGCACAAAAATTTGATTTTTTTAAATTTTTTTTTATTTATTTATTTATTTTATTTTTATTTATTTTGCTCTAATTTTGAGTTTATTAACCGTCCTCCGACTCTAACAATCCCATCTCCATCAAGGAAAATATTCACTAGAATCATTTTGCAGTTCTGGGTCAAAGAAGTTCTCTTTTATAAATAGTCCTACTAAAGTTTAAATTCTGATTTTTGAATGAGTTTAACTATAGATTTAGTTGCTTCAAGCTCCTCAGGGATAATACTCCTTTGATTCTTTGAATGTAGATTTAGCAGTGTCTAATGAATCTTAAACATCACGAGATTATTCTAATGCATTTTGAAAACGATGAGTATTCGGAAATAATTTCTAAAATAGTAGTAACTTCAGGTGTATCTGAAATGGTGATGCTGACTCACAATAACGATTTCTTCTTGGATATCAGCCATGCATGCTTTCGGTGTATCTCTATCCAGAGGGAAACTATTCTTCTGATACAACCATTGAGAACCTACCACAAAGACATTTAAGTTTTACTGCAGAAATACCTCTCGAGGCACAACCTGTTGGATTTTCTTGACTTTTCACGTGCTTCTATGAAGCTACTGAAGTTGAGTCTTGATTTTTTTATATCCTATTAGCAACAAAGCTTGTCCATCTTTCAGCCAGTCTAAAGCTATTGAGTCCGAGGATAAAAATCGTCTTATCAATGTAAATATTCTTCACTAAGGATGTTGAAACAAATTTATGTAAGAACATTGAATGAGTCTAAAAAGAAGAACTGCACATAACTCTTGGCAGTTTGGCAATGTTATTGTCTTCCCGAGAGCAACTTTTCTTTTCGATGTAATCAATAAAACGTGGAATCGTCCATCTTCGAATTCCGTTCTTAGATAAATTTCTGCAGTATATGCATGCTCAAAAGCGTCGCAAAAACAAGTTACCTGACTGTTTTTAATAGAATTGTTTTTTTATCAAGGATCGTTGAGTAACCATTTTCTCATTGGGAAAATCGCCTTTCTTCATGTGTTCGATAATTTGTGAGACTAATTGCTTTGCTTCCTCAATATTCTTTGCTCCCGTGAGAACATTATCTACATAGGTACCTTCCAATGTGACTCTCGAAGCTTCTGAAAAACTTGTTTGTTCCTCCATGTAAATTTTTTTTTTAATATTCGAAAGGCCAAATATGGAGCACAAGCAGTGCCGTACGTAACTGCCAAAATATGGAAATCATGAAGCGGTTCTTCAGGGCTTTCTCTCCAAAAGATTCTCTGGAAATCGACATCATTATTATTGACTAGAATTTGTCGAAACATTTTTTTCAGTATCTCATGTGAGTGAGATACAATGAGTTCTAAATTTTAATAAAATATCTAAAAATTCTTTTTGAAGTTTGGGAGCAATATGTTAAATAACATTTAAACACCTGACTAAGATTTTGCAGAAACGTCAAACACAACCCTTAATTTGGTAGCTTCACTTTGATCTCCAAATGAAGTAAATAAAAAACTCCTGAAGGTGATTTTAAAAAATTGACATTTGGAACAATTTGCATATGATTCGTAGTTTGATATACTCCATGAAGTGTATATATTGAGTTTTGTGTTCTGGATTCTCTTCTCGAAATTTTCTTTCCAAGGAAAAGAATCGTTTCTTCGCTTGATTACTTGAATCACTCAAGAGAGCTTAATTAACAAATGGGAGACTGACAACAAATCTACCATCAGAATTTCGACTAGTGGGATTTAAATCTGGAACTGACTCCCCAGAATTGGTTAATTAAATTTTCAATGCCTACTAAAGCATGACAATTGATTAAGGAATTCTGAAATCGATTTAAAACGGATCAGAGTGAAATGATTTAGAACGGATGGTTGGTTTTTATTTCCCAATAAGTTTGCAGTTTGAATTAAATCTAAGACTGTATCTACATCCAGAATGATGTTAATTCTACTGATTATGATTATGGGAAAAGAATGGTCTGCTAATTGAAATCCTTTCAGTTGAGTTCTTATATATATCAAAGTTTGGTAATTTTGATGTCAGCTTTTTGACTACTACAGCATTTATAAAAAAAATTTCGTTATTAAAATGAGGAGTAAAGTTTAACTTATCTACTTTCATAGCATGTGTGGCATCTGTGTCTTCAAGTCCTAGAAGAGTATTTTCAGATTTTTTAAATGAAAGCTTTATTCGATTAAAACACAATTCAGTGATTAAAGATATTTGAGAAACATTATTAATTAAAGCTCGGAGTTCAAGAAACTATCCTTTACTATTTTCTACTCTTATAACAGCTGTTGCAAGCAAAATTAAATTAGAATTCTTTACATTCCTTGTGAAGTAAAACTGCCGCTCTTCCGAGGTGCTAGCTGAAGTTTGACACAAAGGTTGATTTGAGGATGGAGTAAATTACTTTCAGGTGAATATTTTTCAGCATTTTGAAAGAGGTGAACAATTGTGTGATGTTTCTGTCTACATGCCCTGCAAGCTATAGTGAATTGGCATGAGGAAACATTATGATTTGGTCAATTCAGACCATTAAAACTCAGGTTTGCTTTTCGTATGAAGTTCCAGTATTTATCATTCACTTTAAGAAAGTTCTCGCATTAACGTAAAAGCTGTGGTAATTGGAAAAGCATACAACATTCTTTCTTGAATTTTACACTTGTTTTAAAAAAGAGTTATGTCAATGGATTTTGCTGATCTGTCTTGAGTATAATTTCCTTTTACACTCTGAAGTCTTCTAGCTTGTTTTCCTAAAAACACAACAAACATTTTTAAAGATGAAAAATTCTTATCCTCTAGTTCCATTTGATTTTAAATGAATCTATAAGGTATTTCTCCCACTTTCCTAGCTTCTTTCGTGGTGTAGTGGTTCTGCAGGCTAAGCCGGTATTCCAGAGGTTCGTGGTTCGATTCCCGGCGAAGGCATTTGCTATTTTTCCTCTTGTCTGCTTTCAAAAAATACCTAATGTCTCTACAGTGGCGCCCGAACTAAAAGGGTTGTGGATGATGATTCTCCGCACCCAGGATTTGGCGACTAGGTCTCCTAAAACCCTAGTCGCTCTTTAAAAAGGGGAGTATATAAGGTATTTCTCCCACTTTCCTAGCGTCTTTCGTGGTGTAGTGGTTCTGCACGCTGGGCCGGTATTCCAGAGGTCCGTGGTTCGATTCTCGGCGAAGGCGTTTGCTATTTTTCATCTTGTCTGCTTTCAAAAAATACCTAATGTTTCTACAAATCTTCAAGCTTATCTTGTAAGGCATATATCAGAAGAATTTCCACTGACTGATTACTTTCTAAACCGAGTTTTTTAAAATTCTCAATTTCTTATTTGCAGGTATCTCTCATCATTCCAATGGAATCAGATGTAGGTTTTGAAAATTTTAAATTAAAAAATTGTCTTCACTGAGAAAATCTTAATTCCCTCCGATTATCACATCCACTGATAGAAATGTCCCAAGCATGTTTATAATTATCAGAGGTTATTGCGAATTCCCTAATAAGTCTTGCATCATCATAGAAAACTGCACTTTGAAGATATTGCAATTTCTGAATGTCAGTGAGAAGTGTTAAAATCAATTGTACTTAAAAAATATAGATTTAAAACTCAACTAGGAATTAAAACTGGTTTGGAAACGTTGTAAGATCATACCTTGGAAATTTTATATCCACATAAAATGTGGCAGATTTTAACATCTTATCATCATTGAGCTATGAGTTTTTATAAATCAAATTTATATATGCTCCTATTTTCACCAATGATTCATCTGCCAAATCCTGAAACTCAGATTCATCATCAAAATCTTCAAGAATAGAATATCGATAATAATATTCTTCAAGCTTGTCTCGACATCTTTGTTGCTACGGTTGTTGTGACTAATCTTTTTTCTTTGATATCAGAGCGAGCCCACGAAATTCATCGTGGCAAGGAGGTGCCTTTGTTCTTGGCAGCGTTCTTCTTTCGTTGGCAAGAGCCTTGGGTACCATAAAGGTGATAATAACTTTGCTCAATTATGTCTCCAATCTTGAAGGCGATCACGCCGTAACGCCATCAAAGAGGCTTCTGACCTAAGGCGAAAACCGAACGTAATAATGCCTGCTCGGTGGAAAATCTAATACCAACATCCTCCACCGCCACAGCATATGAGAAAGAAGAAAGAAAAAAAAAACTGGATTTTGATTCTGATAGTAATCAGTGGCTGAATGTAAATTCGGTGCGGGAACTCTCTAAACCTAAAGCATTAGTATCTAATCGCTCAATGACTTGGTTATCTTAGTTTGTTTCATAACTTCTTCTTCGAGAAAGCAGTTAGAAGTACTTCTCGACCCTCATCTCCTCAAAATAACAAAGTATGCTCTCCATTGACTGTGCCGCCCAAGTATGGAATCGGACCGTAGGTCGGTTAGTACGAAATAGCTTAGAAAGTGGAAGTAAGAAAAGCAGCTAAAAACATTTAATGCTACTAACTTTGATTAGAACTTGATGAGATGATAAATACAGAGAACGAATGTTTTATCGACCCATTAAAAATGGGTCTCAAGCCTTTCAAAAAATGTGCACAATAACTGGGTTAAAGGTTATGACAATCGCATTTTAACTCAGCTGTTGCAAACTAGAATGGAATATTCTCTTTCTAGCACATTTAATTCGGAATTAATATAGCTTTAATAAATGCAAGTATTGATCTGATGGACTCAAACGAAAGGAGAATTATAAGCGAAATTCCATAGCTAACAATACTTCACCCACCAAAAACTGATCATCAACTACATCCAGTATTTGCTGCATTCGGATTGTTGGCGAGTGCACGGTGTCTGGGAAAAGGTTGCGTTTGCGAAATGATGGCGTACTGTCCAAGGATCCTGATGAATCTTGCTGAACACATTGTTCCAAGTATGCACTAAGGTCGGAGACTGTGGAATCCGGAACGGGCCTTCTTTTCACTTTAAAGGGCTTGCGAGGTGAAGAAGGTGAGGAATAGGACGACGATGACATTTCTAGAATTTTATAGAGCGCGGAATTCTGAAGCAATCATGAAATATCAGCTTGAATTTCTGTAAAGAAAAAAAAATCTCTTTTTAGATTGAAATCATCGAATGTTTTTATTAGTCAGATATTTGCCCACTAAAACTAATGCAAGATAGATTTCTGTAAATATGAATCCGGATAAAAGTGGAGAAGTAAGTTTTACATACCGCGTATGATAGTTTAAATGTTTTCAATTTTAATGATAAGAAATAAATCTTAAAATAGTTATAAAATTTGTAGATTTTATGTTGTAGTTGTAGATGTTCTGTTCCATTCTCATTTTATTCGGAGTCACTCGCTATAAAAATTTAATTATTTCAAAAACAGATATCCAATAAGGAAAGAGTTAAAGCCAGAGCTTAAAAAGTACGGCTTGTAGTTGTTGTTTGTGTCAGTTCTGCTTCTCCTTTGCTTGGTGTTCCGGGACTGATTAGCTGTTTAAAATTTAGCTTAAATAAAATAACCTCATTTTAATTTCCTTTTGGAGAAAATTCAGTAAGTTAACTTATTCCTTTCACAAATAAGTTAGTAATAGCTTAATAATAATAGCAGTAATAATAATAATAATAACTTTCTGTTGCCATAGTTATAATAACTATTCATCAATAACAATTTTTAGTTATTTTTTCTTATTCTCGCTCCGCTTGAATTTCAATTTTAAGAAACTGAAGTTTTGCAAAAATGCAGCAGAGAGATGGGTAAAGTGACAGAAAGAATAAGACAGAATTGAAGCTTCGCAATTTCTCCCAATTAAATTTACAAAAAATACACAAAAACATCTATTCGGGATAAATGTTGTTGTCTAGATTTATGGTTACGAAATCTATCTCTAGTACAGAGGTTTTCAACCAGAAGGGAACACTTTCAGTGGGGAATACGGTCAGCCTTTTAGTTACCTGTTAATTATTTAATTTATAAATATGAAAAATTATTTTTATTCAAGTTTTAGTATTTAGCATCATTTCCTATACATTTTTTGCTTACCTTATAAAACACATTAAAAAATAAAATAAGTTTAAATAAATGCGTATGTATTTCTCTAGTTTTGGCATCGGGGAGGGGGATAATCCTCCAGTAGTGTTAAAAAGGATGCATGGGGCAAAAATGGTTGAAAACTGCTGATGATGAGATAGATGTTACAGTCATCTCGACGGACTACATGCATAATACTAAAAATATTGGATTATTGCAAGTAAAACGGGTGTTCAGTTACTTGAGCTTTCTACTGGTTATGTAAGAAAGTAAGCGTTGAGGTTTCCGCAAAATTTTTACGTCATGTGACAACTTCCCAAGTTGCAATTAAAGCATTTGTTTTCTTCAAACGAGCAATAAACTCTGAATATACAGCATTAAACGTTGAGTAATACATATATGCATCATACAGTTTGTTCCAGTTATAAATTATATTTTATATATACAAAATAAGGTGACCAGACGTCCCGCTTTTGGCGTGACAGTCCCGATTTTTAACAATTTGTCCCGCGTCCCGCGACGTTTTAAAAAAGTCCCGATTTTTGGAAAGAATGCACGATAAGCTAGGGAACGGAGTGAGAATACGCTTTTCGGCGGCCATGTGGCTACTTCGCCAGGATATGTGTGTCTTATATTCCTTTTGTTAATTTTATAATGTTAAATTTTAATAATAACAGATAATTGTTGACAACTGATTATCGAGAACTGCTTATCAAAGTTCGCATTGTTGATCAGTTGTTAGAATTCAACCACCGTTGTTTGGACTTAATGGCATTTTTTGTCATTGACATTGACGAAAACATTTTGTAACTGTCTCTCAAACGATACACTCCGTGCTAGTGCTAGTTAAACAAGTTGTAGGGTTTATATTTAATGTAACTAACATTTATTTTAAGTTTAAGCTATCTTTCCTGTCAAGCCTTACTTTCCCCTGGAATTGCCAATGCCAGAGTATGTAAATTTTAGTAGAACGCGCAGAGTATTCAAATTTTCAGCGGAAGTAATTTTCACTTAAATAGAAGGGAAACGAGATTGTAGGTGTGCTTTCTTGATTCACGAGCGTGAAGGTTGCTAGGTAGAAATTTAAGAACCGCGCGTTTCAGCCTGTGTGCTTGCTTCGGCAGTTAGTTGAATCTTTCAACTTTTTATTCAGAAAGTTTGCTGAAATCTCAGCTGTATCTTAACACGCGGTTAAGTTAGTTACGTTTAGAGAGCCTCGTAGGTAGTGACTTGTTATTATTCATTTTTAGATGTACTTTCTTATTTTTATTTAACCGACGGGCGTAGTTTGTGAGCGTCAAGTGAACGCATCTGTAACTTCTAAAGTGGAATAAAAAGGGAGTTAAACCCTTCTTAAGAGTTGTGTACTTTCCAGGTTATAGCAGTCACTACTATTGTTGCGGACAAGTTGGGGCCACGCAACACCACAAAGTGATGTCAACAAATCGGCTATCCAGATAACTTAGGTACGTAATTTATTTATGTATTTCACAAGCACATAAATATTCTTGAATTTAGTGGACAGTACTCTTACTATTTATATTTTATAGTGTCGGCAGAAGGTCTAGCGTCGGTCTTGAATGTGACGCTTACAAGCTTACAACTTATGTTACGACAAATTCAGAGGAAAAATAATACAAGTTAATGCTGTTATTATTTAGAAAGAATTATAGGACTTTACAATTTTATAACAAACAAATTAATTTAATTTTTAAACTAACAATAAAATATGTTCATGTAATTATGTACCTACTTACTGTGTTATTAAACAATATATATAGATAAAAATTTATAATATAATTTATAAATTTATAATAAATTACTTCTTTAGATTTTTAACATAATTAGCAAGAACAAAAGATGCAAATTCAAAGATGATCTAAGAAGTGAATTTCCTTTTGTTAAAGAAAAAATTTTAAAAAAAGCGATCACATGGTAAAATGTGAGAAATGTAATAGGGAATTTTCTATTTCTCCCGGCTGGAAGAATGATATTTCAAAGCACTCGGAGACACAGAAACATAAAAAATATTTAAATACTACTGCATCTTCCTCCAAAATGCAGGAATTCTTTCGGAAAACAATTTATGGAGACGAAGAAAAGAAATTAGCATTAGCAGAAGGATTTATGTCTTTTCATGCTAATAATCACAATCATTCCTTCAGATCCTATACATCACAAATTGTCCAAAAGTTATTAAAAAAAAAAAGACAGCAATCTACTAAAAGAATTCACTCAAATGAGAAATATGCCAAAGAATAAAATAATACTATACATAATTTTTAAATGTAATTTGTAAATTGTTCTTAGGTTGAAATATATATATATTACAATACTATTTTTGCGTTTTGCGTTTTCTAAGAAAATTTGTGTTGCTCCATATAGACCAAATTTTTAATCAAGAATCTCCCTCCCCCGGTCAATGGTGTCCGCTTTTTTTTTTTTTTTTACAAAGTTAAAATCTGGTCACCTTAATATATAAGGAAGAATTTACAATTATTTTATTTAATAAGGCAAAATAGTTTATTATTTATTCACTTAAGGATAAAATATAGCTTTTAACTTAATCAATCGAAACAATGTAATTGTATTTATCCTACACGTCCTCTTCGCTCCTAGAATCCACAAGTGGCTGAACAGTAATATCTCTGAACACTGATAGTTCAACTTGGGTTTCAATCCCGCGAACAGGTTGACTCCTTGGGATTTTTCGTCGTTTTCCTATGTTTAAAGCGAATATAAGCCCGTTTCTTTTAAAAAGTGTTCGACGATGATTTCTCTGACTAAGCAGATAGCTATGAGTTGCTCTGCCATAATCCAAGCCAATCTAATCCTTTTCGCTTCAGAAATCAGGAAAAAAAAGAAAGCTGCCCACATAATCGTCCTGCTGTAAGCAATTTATGACCCATTAGCTATACCCATCTTACTATGGGGTTTGTTAAAATTCTGACTCCAAGTAAAGGCTATGTTTTCCGAAATAGCGCACAGATATAGCTAGTTAAATATATTGTATTCTAATATTATACTTCCTGTTTAGTATTTTAGTGTAGCTAGTACTTTAAACTATGACTTTATCAAATGTGTTATTATAATTGACTAAGGCTCTCGACCGACAGGCATGTTTTAACAATTGATTTTATAGATAGTTTGACAATAAATAAAGAAGTTTAATTTAAAAAAAAAGAAAAGAAACATTTTGCAAACGGAACTGGAAAAACAATTACCGTAAATAATAATTCTAATTACGACGAATTACTGAAATAAGAGTTCACTTTTATTTTATGAGAATTTCAGAAAAATGAGTTTTGTCTGGCAAAATAGAAAGAACTTTGTACAAACTTAATCGACTTAAAATTCATATACATAAATAAAAATATGCCATATAAAGTAAACAAGAAATTTCATAAAGATGTATCATACACTCCTCAATAGTGAAATTGCAACACCAAGAAAGAACGCTCGTAGCGTCTTTCAAATTGCAGGATCGAGAGTTGTGAGATAGATATGCAAATGATTAAAAAAAAAAACAGACACATAAAATAATTATGAACCAATTTATTCAGTATCTACTGTGCCCACATAGGGCAGTGATACAGGCCACAATCCGGCGAGCCTGCTATCATTGAGTTCATTGATAGCTGCCTGAGGTAGCCTTTGCCAAGCCACATCAAGTACTGTATGTAATTTAAAAGAAAAGGCTAGAAGGCGCTGTTGCTCGCATAGTAAAAAAAGAGAAAAGTTTGTTCATGTTGAAGGCGGCGGCCTAAGAATACGCTCTGTATATAGTGAATCAAAATATTGTTAAAAATGTAAAAGTGTTAAAATTAGTAAACTCACTGATCCACCATCATTTGATTTAGAAATGCACAAGATATTTCATAGCGCATGAGGGCGGGAATTAAGGCTTTATGAAGATTTTAGGTGTTCAATCTGAGTGTTTCGATTTGGATTTAACAATGGATATTTCATATTCAAGGGACAATGGAATTCCAAATAAAGGTAGGGAAATATTAATAATTTATGATTTTGTAGTATTGAAGAAATCTTT